GTGTGCCTCAGACTCTGACAGGAGGAAGGTTTTCATACACATTTTACTAACTTTCTTTCATCTCTGACACTTCTATTAGAGAGAAAAGGCAAATAGCCACATTAAATTATTTCCTCTAATGTGCACGAATTTTGCACGCCGGGTCACTAGTAAATAAATGAAAGCAGCAGCAGCAGCAGCATCTGGGCCAAGCAGCAACCTTCCCCACCCCATGTCAGCAGAACAGCATCCTATTTCCTCAGTTTGCTTTCCCTTACATTAGTGAGGCAAATGTTCTTCCATATTGCAAGTGAGGTCGGTCCTGGTCTCTAAAGAGGGTACCATGGCCGAGATCTGCAAGGGTTCTCAGAAGGGAGCTGACCCTGAGGCCTGCTTGCCAGCTGAGCATCATTCCGAACTCCGACCAAAAAGCTGTCCAACGCCTGGAGGTTGCTGGGAACCGAGCCTCTTTTAGGAACTGTCTTCAACACACTACACCAAACCCTCTGCCACGACCCAGCTGAGACAGAAACGCAAGCCTGCGGCTTACCTGACAGGTGATGGCCTCCACTCGGTAAGGGTTGTAAGACTTCTGACAAGTCCTGCAGAACTGCTTGAAGTACACCTGTGACGAGAGAGAGAAAACGTCAAGCAAACCCCTCTGGACACCCCCGTCCGACCCACGCCAGTGGCGGGGATGCTCACCTTGTTGGTGCCCTGCACACACCACACGTAGGCGCTCTCCCACCGGATGTTGCAGTCCTTGCAGTGATAATAGCCGTATTTCTGCTCCAGGAACTGAACGAAAGGACACCGAGTTTTAACCAACGTGATGTCGAATTGTCACCCTTTATTTCAGAAGCAGAGGATCTATTTCATCCTTAAAATCGGCCGAAACCAGTTTGGCTCAATGGATAGAGCGTCGGCTTGGGGACTGAAGGGTCCCGGGTTCGATTCTGTTCAAGGGCATGGTACCTTGGTTGCGGGCATATCCCCAGCAGGGGGTGTGCAAGAGGCGGCTGATCGATGACTCTCATCGATTTTTCTAACTCTCTATCTCCCTTCCTCTCTGTACAAAATCAATAAAATATATATATATTTTTAAAAATCGGCAGCTTCCTTCCCACGGTGGAGGAAAGCAGGGGCAGGTTCGAATTAGGAAGGAGGTGAGCGGCTGGCCTAATTGAGCAGATAGGCAAACAGTTTAACTGGTGCCAGGGTTACTGGGTTTATTAAGCAAAGTAGCGGTCAGTACTGGGTGGGTGTTTTCCCTCAGACAGGCCAGGGGAAAGCCAAACACCCAGGTTCTCTGCACCTTGGGACCCTCTGCAGAGGCCTCTGCGGTTGGGTAGGCATTTTAGAACACAGTCGTGGGTGGTTACGCTGAAGAACAGGCGTTAGACGCCGAATCCTCAGCTACTTCCAGGTGTCCGCCCAAGGTGAAGTTCTCTAGGCTGCGAGTTCAATTCCCCCAAAAAGTCAAGTAGGAATCCAAACGGTGGGTAAGCCACAGCTCGTGTGTGACATGAACAAAAGGACCACGGCCTTCCTCTGAAGCTGCCTTCCCTCCCAGGGAGAAACCAGTTGCAAACAAGTCTTTGTGGTCAGGCCTTTCAAAGGGAAAGAGATTTGGGAGAGCACTTGGCAATTTCACAGGGGAGCAAACTGAAGTCCGGGAAGGTTACGAGTTAAGATGCCCCATAGTGCCCAGGCGGCGTGGCTGAGAATCTATGAACTGGGACCGGGGTCGGCAAACTCATTAGTCAGCGGAGCCAAATACCAACAGCACCACGATTGCAATTCCTTTTGAGAGCCAAATTTTTTAAACTTAGACTTCTTCTAACGCCACTTCTTCAAAATAGACTCGCCCAGGCCGGGGTGTTTTGTGGAAGAGCCACACTCAAGGGGCCAAAAAGCCGCATATGGCTTGCGAGCCGCAGTTTGCCGACCATGGAACTAGGAGGCCACAGTTCGATTCCCAGTCAGTCACTAGTGAGGGGTGTATAGGAGGCAACTGATCAATGATTCTCATCATTGATGTTTGTCTCTCTCTCTCTCTCTCTCTCTCCCTTCCTCTCTAAAATAATTTTTTTTTCAAAAAAAAGATGGCACATAGCCTGTGTATAAATTCTCGATTCACTCCTCTGCTCCCCACCCCTCCAGCAGCCCTGGGTGGCCTCTTGTACCCTCCATGCCTTCCTGCCTCCCGGGGTTACAGCTGTCCTCGTGGCCTCCAGACCTGTGGGGTTCAGCTAGTGGGAACTGGCCCTCCTGGCCCGCCATACACAACAGCCGTTATGTTTCTGGGTGGAGGTGCTTTTTAGGGGCCAGGAAAGACCCTAAGGGAGGCAGGCACTGCACTGGAAGCTTTGGAAAACCCAGCAAGAATGAGGGGCAATAGGGGGGTGGGACATATGTGGGGAGGGGTTTGGGTTGAGGATGCGGGGATGAGGACAATTATGTGATACCATAATCAATTTTTTTAAATGGCAAAAAAAAAAAAAAAAAGAGGGGCAAGGTGACCAGCACCCTAATAGTCGACGGTTGTGGCTTTTGCTATTAAAAGGAGAAAAGTGGGCGGGATCCTTGGGAATCAGCTCTCCCACCAGCAAGCCAAACCTTCTGATGCCCCTCCCCGTGCCCACCCAGAGGGTCCACACCGGACAGCTGGACAGCGTGCTCACGACGGCGTTTAGACAGCAAATACGCCCAGAATGCGAACGTTTAAAGGGCGCCTCCCTCACCGAGCTCGAGCTCGGGGCTGGCATTTTCCATCACCATCAGGCTCCAATTAGCTTAACTCTTGGAGGGGGACGGCGCCTGGGGCTGCAGTGGCTGCAGAAAGGCCCCCGACGGCCCCGCGCCCAGAGCAGAACCCGGAGGAGCCGCCCCCCAGGTCCCCGCGCCCAGAGCAGAACCCGGAGGAGACGCCCCCCGGGTCCCCGCGCCCAGAGCAGAACCCGGAGGAGCCGCCCCCCGCGTCCCCGGGGTCCCCGCGCCCCTCGGAGACGCCCCCCGGGTCCCCGCGCCCAGAGCAGAACCCGGAAGAGCCGCCCCCCGGGGTTCCCGCCCCCCCCGGAGGAGACGCCCCCCGGGTCCCCGCGCCCAGAGCAGAACCCGGAGGAGCCGCCCCCCGGGTCCCCGCGCCCCCGCCCGCCCGTCCCGCCGCCTCACCTGGAAGCGCAGGCGCTCCTTGCCCGGCTCCGGGCTCCGCGGCGGCGACCTCTCGCCCTCGCCGTCCCGGGCGCCCGCCTCCGGCGGCGGCTGCTCGGAGCCCCCGGGCGCGCTCCGCGGGGCGGCCTCGCCTCCCCGGGCCTCGCGCGGCGGCGGCTCCGGCGCGTCCGCCGACGGCTCCCAGCTCGCGCGCACCTGCTCCGCCTCCTCCTGCTCCTCCCGCTCCTGCCCCGGGGCCCGCGGCCGCTCCGCCGCCGTCCCCGCCGCGCGCCCTCCCCGCTCGGGGCCGCGGGGCCTGGGCGGGGGCGGGCCCCGCTCTGCGGCCGGCGCGGCGGCCTCGGCGCCGTCCAGGAAGGTGGTGGTGACGCGGCGGGAGACCACGGGCGAGTACACGGCCACGGAGCGCGGGAAGCGCGGGAGGCGCGGGCCGCCGCCCGGGGGGCTGGCGGGCTCGGGGCGCGGGCGCGCGGGCGGCGGGGAGGCCTCGGGGCCGGGGGCCGGGGCGCCGGCGTCGCGGGGCCGGCGCGGCAGCGTCCGCCGCCCGAGCGCGCACTGCACCGCCGCGTCCCGGCGCGGGTTCACCTGCACCGCCGCGTCCCGGCTGCCCGCCCGGCGCAGCCGCGGGGCCGGGCCCGGGCCCACCTGCGCCAGGAGCGCCATGAGCTGCGCCCGCTGGAAGCTGTCGAAGTACTCGGCGGCCATCAGCTGCCCGTAGCCCGGGAAGGGCGGCGGCGCCCCGGCCAGGGCGGAGGGGGCGGGAGGGGGGTCCCCGGCGCGCGGCCGCCAGCCGCCCCCGCCCGCCAGGCCCTTGCCCCGCGCGGCCGGCGGGTAGAGGTAGGGGTACGGGTACGCGGCGCACGCGGGGTACATGGAGCGGTCCAGCGCCTCGTCCGCCAGGGAAGCCATGCGCGCGGCCCCCGCGGCTCCCGCCCGCCGCCTCCGCCTTAAGTGGGCGGCCTCGCGGGGGCGGCCCGGAGCCCGCCCCCCGCCGCGCCCGGCCCCAGCGCCCCCTCCCCGCTGGGAGGGCTGCTTCCTGCCCCCCTCGGGGGAGGGGTTCCTCACAGACACCCCTAGATGGCCTGCAAGGAGGCTTTCTTTGCGGTGCGCGCGCTGATTTCTAAGTGAACTTGCCCGCGCGCAACAGAACGCTCACCTGGATGCGCTGAGCCAGGTGCTCCCCATCCCCTGATGGTCCTCGGGGTCTGCACCCAGGGAGCCGAGGCCGGGCTGCCTGCCTCTGGCCAGGGAGCAGACCCGAAGGCCTGGTTGGGTTACCTCTGATGTCAGGTTGTGGGTTATTCAGTTATCTCAGGGCTGCTCCGAGAAGTCTACCTTAGGAAGCCATTCATTACGCGCGGGAAGCGTTCTAAGTCACCCATGTCCAGGCTAATTGTCATCTCCTGGGGCTCGTGCTCCCCCCCCCCCCCGCCCCGCCTCAAACGTGGGCCTCGAGGTACTCTTGAGTACCTCCAGGTATTAATGACTAGTCTTTGGGGTAGACAGTAGTTCTACCAATTTCCTAATCTAATCACCTCCCCAAGAAGTAAATTGATTGGGGAGGCGGGTGTGAACGTAAATGCATTAGGCCAAGTCAGTCCCCTGGAGTTGAAAAAAAATGCTCTCTGTCCACCAGAAAAATGTTGTCTGTTCATCACCAAGCGATATTAGATCAAGAAATCAAATACATTCACGTTCGTTTTTTGTTTTTGTTCTGATTGGAAACAGGTTGGACACTGAAATACTACTAGTCATTGTTTAATTGACCTGTTTGGGGATTTTTCTAAATAGGGGTCAGATTTCAATATTGTCAAGTGTTCATAAGTTAAGCTATAGCACACTTCCTTTTCTTACAATCACATTAAACTCCATGATGCTTTACAAATATAGCTTGTTTTTACTCCTATAAGATAGTGCACCAAAATTCTACATTTCCCAAACCCCCTTTTTTTCTGAGCGTGTACGTCTTAGAAACAGTCGTAGCAATTGGCTAACGGTGGAGACCGAGGAGCATACCCTTCACCTGTGCGGGCTTCACGTGCGTGTGCCGTCCCAGGTGCGAGTGGTAATGCCACACCGACTGGGAGCTGGTGAGAACGCCTGTGAGGACACCCAGGCGGCCTTACCTCGGGAAGTTCAAAACGGTTACAAGTATGATATTGTGAAGCAATGGCTGCTACCCTTCAGGTAAACCATACACACTACCACAGACGATAAATAGGCAGGAAAACGTCAGCAAGACAAGACGCTCCTTGCGTCTCCATGCTCAGAGAACAGTCTGGGTGGTCTCCACCATCATCAAGCTCTCCGCGTTCACGGAGCCGTAGGTGGTGTCCACCATCTCCTCTTCCTTCAGCTTCTTGTAAGAAATGTCCGTGTCTTCGTCCTCATCGAGAGGATCTTGCTTGTGCAGTAGTTCACGTCCGTACATCTTATAGATCAGCACGAACACCCCCGCCTCTGCAGACTGGAAGAGGGCGTAGAGCAGCGGGAACATGTACATGCTCCCGATGAGGTGCGGGGGGAAGGCCAGCTTGAGAATGGCGGTGCAGAGCTGCACGTTCTGGCTGCCCGTCTCCAGGCAGACGGTCCTCTTGCAGTTGGGGGGGAGACGGAAGAGCGTGGCGAGGCCGTAGCCCGAGGCGTAGCCCGCCAGAGGCATGAAAATCGCGATCATGTAAACGGCGGCAGGAATGCTCGCCAGCAGTTCGGGTCCTAACATAGTGCCGGTCATGATGAAAAGGACCACCAGTGTCACGAGCAGAGACCACAGGGAAACCTGGGGATAGAAAATGGATAAACAAGCTGTCAAACAAACAAACAAACAAAAGACAGTTGGAGGGGAATTCAGGCAAGGGACTCCCAGGCACTCGGAAGAAAAGGCGCATCTAGTCTGACCTCCCACACAAAACCGAGATCTTTGCGGCCACGACGACCTTGACAGAGTACCCCCTGCAGAAAGGCAGATTGCTGGGCAGGAGCCTCCAAACCCAGGTGGCCCAGCTCTCCTGGTCTGGAGGCCTGTTCTTATGCCTAGCGATCTAGTAACAATCCTATAACCGCAGGCCATGGTCACGGACAGGCCCTCAGAAGCAACCACTCCACCTGCCAACACCTTCAAACATCTACAAGCAGCCTTCACTGGTTTGGCTCAGTGGATAGAGCGTCAGCCTACGGACTGAAGGGTCCCAGGTTCGATTCCCATCAAGGGCATGTACCTGGGTTGCAGGCACATCCCCAGTAGGAGGTGTGCAAGAGGCAGCTGGTCGATGTTTCTCTCTCATGGATGTTTCTAACTCTCTATCCCTCTCCCTTCCTTTCTGTAAAAAATAAATAAATAAATAATCAATAAAAAATATATATATTTTTTAAAGTCTACAAACAGTTACCCAGGGAAGGCCACTCCAGCACTGTCTCCAGGCTTCCGGCCTCCATCATATAACTCTGTTCTGGAGTTTTTACTGTTCGGAGCACACGCTGAATTGGTGAATGTGCCTCTCACTAACAGCAGTTAGAAGGGAGCCCAATGCACAGGTGTGGTCGGTCTGTGAACAGAGTGGACAAAGGGCCATTCCTCTCCCTGAACTGGACCCCATCTTTTCCATAAGAAATTAGTGCTGCTTTTACACATGACGTAACAGGCTATTAAAAATGTCTGAAATCAAGTTGTGATATTTCTCACCTCCAAAATACTTTCTGAGAATTGTTAGCAATATCAAAACAATTATTAACTCTCGGATTACGTAAGGGAGGAAACGTAGACACTAGATGTGAAGTAGTCATTGCAAATTCGCAATTCCCCCTTTTCATCTGTTCCTGAGAAGCCTCCCACCTGTGGGTCTCTAGTGATGCTTCCAGGTTATTATAGTAAATGATTTTTTTAAATTGATTTCAGAGAAGAAGGGAGAGGGAGGGAGAGATAGAAACATCAATGATGAGAATCATTGATTGGCTGGCTGGCTGCTGTACACTCGGGAGTAAGCCTGCAACCTGGGCGTCTGCCCTTGACTAGAACCGAACCTGGGACCATTCAGTCTGCAGGCTAATGCTCTATCCACTGAGCCAGACCAGCTAGGGCTAGTAAATGATTTTCAATTTAAAACAACTCACTTATAAAAACATTGTCCTCTTGTAAAACATTTCACGCCCTCAAGTAAAACAGACTGTGTAAATATTAATAGCAAGGTAGAAACCTAAAAATGCCTCTTCTATGCCCAATGTGGCCTCAGTTGGTTGAGCATCTTCCCAAAAATCAGGAGGTCGTTGGTTCGATTCCCACTAGGGGAACATGCCCCGTTTCAGGCTTGAATCCCTGAAATGCAGGAAGGGCATGCAGGAGGCAGTGGATTGATGTTTCTCTTTCATTGATGCTTCTTTCCCTTCCTCTATCTAAAATCAATAAAAATATTTTAAAAGATTTTCCTCTCCTAGTTCTTCAGATTGGGGGTGAGGTGGTTTTTCTAAATGTTGTTTCTGATTCCCTGGATGTCTGAAGGAAAACCCCTTAAGGGTGTGTGGTATTGCAATATAGAGTACTTTATACTCTTTTAAAAAGAAGTTAAAATTTATCTGGACGGATTAAGTCTACCCTAGAAGATGCTGAATAATTATTATATGAGATACTCATGCCACCAATGTACAATTGGCAGAAGCCAAACTTATAAATCAAAACTTAATATAAGTTTCAAAGTGTGTCCACATCAAAAGCTTTGTTAGAAGCCTAGCTGGTTTGGCTCAGTGGATAGATTATCCACTTTGGTGTGAAGGGTCCCGGGACTCAATTCCAGTCAAGGGCACGTGCTGAGTTACAGGCTGGATCCCCAGTAGGGGGGGTGCAGGAGGCAGCCAATCAATGATTCTCTCTCATCACTGATGTTTCTATTTTTCTCTCCCTTCCTCTCTGAAATCAATAAAAATATTTTTTAAAAAGAACCCTCTAGCCAGGACCGGTTTGGCTCAATGGATAGAGCGTCGTCTTGGGGACTGAAGGGTCCCGGGTTCGATTCCGGTCAAGGGCATGTACCTTGGTTGCAGGCATATCCTCAGTAGGGGGTGTGCAAGAGGCAGCTGATCAATGACTCTCTCTCATCGATGTTTCTAACTCTCTCCCTTCCTCTCTGTACAAAATCAATAAAATATATTTTTTAAAAAGAACCCTCTATTTTTCATATTAATAAAAGTTAGCCCTCCTGTATAAAAAGGTTACTTTAGAAAATAAATTAATATAAGTAGAACACAAAAGATGTCTTATTAAACCTAAATTGAAACATTAGAGAGACTCGTTTTCTCTCTCTACAGGAATTTGCATGTGCATTTTACAATGACTAGTTTTGTATGGTACCAACCTCCTAAAATGAGAATGCTGTTATTGTTTACTCTTATTTACTACTGTTTCAGTTTTCAAAGAAAGCTTAACCTAGAAATATGTAAATATTTCCTCCAGTCACCTAGTACAAAACTTCTCCTGCTACAAAAAGGACCAGGTTGTTTTTTTAAAGCAATTTTTGAAATATTGCATAAAATAGTAGAAATCCCCATGCTTTCACTACCTTTGGAAATCATGAAGGATTGCAACGAGGAAGGAGAAAAACACAAATTTATTAATGGCAATATAGTCTGTATTATTTACCCATGACCTAATTTTATTTTGTGCTTTAAAGCTCATGTTGTGCATTCTGTTACATTGCCATGATGTAATTTTTAAATTACTTTTGGTCTTATTAATATCAACTTATTCTTAGAAAATTAATAAAACATTTTAAAGCAACTGTCTACAGAGTTTCTCAGAATAAGAGTTCCACCTTTAAAACAGAGTAACACATTTCTAAAATGCAGTACAAATTCTATTAGTAACGCATTTCTTCAGTACTGTACAAATTCTATTAAAATAATTTCCTTTCAGCTCCTTGTTTTGTAACACACGGGTGGTTAATGGAAAATGTTTCCATTTTATGCACTACCATCCATTTCCCACAATGGTCTGTTTCCTCCTAGGAGTACTGAGTTCTCTTGTGCTGTTTTTAATTGAGCTGTGTCTTAAAGCTATAATTTCTAAAATTCAAAAAAGGTGAAAGTTACTTTTTTTTTAAAAAAAAAGTGTATGCATGCCAGGCCTGCGGAATCCTTTTCTTCCTCACCCCTCTTTCCCAAACGCCCTAGCATTTCCGCCGGGCTCAGGCCCAAGGACTCTGAGCCTACCAAGCTTGGAGAGGAGTGAGCTCACCTTCACAATGTAGTCAGCCACCCGGCTGTATTTGTAGCGGATGAAGACGCCCAGGCCGATGGGGATGAGGGTGCTGCAGAGAGTCAGGGTGATGGCGCCCAGGGGCAGCAGCTGCACCAGGGGCGTGTTGATCCACGCCCGGCTGTAGATCCACAGACACAGGGGCATCAGGGCCAGGGCCAGGAGCGTGGAGGAGATGGTCATGATGATGCTGCAGAACAGGGAGCAGAAGTCAGCATGGACTGCGAGCCAAAGGGCCCCATTTGCACCTGGGCAACCCTCTGTCTTGAACATGAGGTTGAGGTCCAGGTCGAGGTGGAAGGGGAACGGGGAGACTGCTATTTCCCAGCTTGAGGCCTGGGGAGAACCTACTTCTTCCCAGGTGCGTGCCATAGAGCTGCAAGTCCAAGGCCAACTGAGACATGGAGGGAAAGGGGGGAGAGAGAAAAGCCTTCAGCACTGCTGCCGGGCTCTGTGCAGCCTAGGACGCTGGCTACCGTCTGGGTAGTCTGGGTGATTTTGAGGGCGAGGAACATCTTTTTTTAAGCCTTCAAAACCCCGCGTTAGACACAGGAAAGCTGCTGCATGCTACATGTTGCACTGAACTCCTTTACGTTGTCTTCTATATGAGATTACGCTTCCCTGGGACCAATCGCCCTGTTTGGTGGTGCATTTTCGGGGAGGGGAGGGTCCTGGCCACAGGCTTCCAGTTCTCTTTGTCCTCCAGCGACGAAGACCTGCGCTGACAGCCCATCCCTCGGGGAGGACGGGGAGGAAACCCAAAGACCCTCTGCTCAGCTTGTCCCTGTCTAGATCTCAAACTCCCCTCTGCCCCCAACACCTCTGCCTCGACTTCCACATCTTCCTCCACCTCCTCTTCCCCGCCCCAAGCCTCCGTCCCACCGCCTCTCCGTCCTCTGTCCCCGGGCTGGAACCCCGGGCTGGAGGGACGGGAAAGCTGCCCAAGGGGCACAGCCGGGTACCTGAGGTTCATGTCGCCGTCCACCAGCAGGGACATGAGGTTGGAGAGGTTGCCGCCGGGGCAGCAGCCGCACAGGAGCACGGCCAGGGCGGCCACCTCGTCCAGCCGGCAGAGCAGCGCCAGCAGGAAGGCGAGCAGCGGCAGGAGGCCGAACTGGCAGAGCGCGGCCAGCAGCGCGCCCAGCGGCCGCCGCACGTGCGCGCCGAAGCGGCCCGCGTCCACCGTGCAGCCCAGGCCCAGCATGGCCACGCACAGGGCGGCGCCCACCAGCACGTTCAGCCCGTGGCTCAGCGGCGTGTCCCAGAACGCGGGCTCCAGCGGCGCCCAGGGCGGCGGGAACGGGGAGGCGCCCGCGCCGGCCACCGCGCTCCCCGCCAAGCCGCCCGCCGTGGGCTCCGGGGCGGCAGCGGGGCCGGCGCTGAACCCCGCGCTGGGACCCGGCCCGAGGCTGATCCCGGGGCTGGGGCTGGGGCTGAACCCGGGGCTGGGGCTGGGGCTGAGCCCGGGGCTGGGGCTGAGCCCGGGGCTGGGGCTGAGCCCGGGGCTGGGGCTGGGGCTCGGGGTGCCCGCGCCGGGCAGCAGCGTGTAGTTGTCCGGGGCGAAGAGCCCGGTGATGTTGCCGCCGTCGGACATGGCGCGATCGTCGGAGCCGGCGGGCCGGTCGGTCCTGCCCGCGCCGCGGATGGATGTATCAGCTCCCAGCAGCCGCGCGCTGCTCTCCGCGCCCCGATCGGTCGGTCCGTCTGCCCGTCCGCAAGCCGCGGCCGTGCGCCTCTGACGTCTGTCTCCGCGGCGGCGTCGGGGGCGGCGGGTCGGGCTCCGGCTCCTCCGGCTCCGGCTCCGGCTCCGGGGCGGCCGCCGCCCGCGGGCGGGCACTGGGAGCGCGGCCCCCGGGGCGAACCCAATCGCCGCGCCCCCGCACCCCGAGGCCCCGCCTCGCCGCCAGGTCCCTCCTGTAATCCCCGGTGAGTGGTTCTGTTCCAGCCCAGCCAGGGGCGGGACAAAGACCCGACAAAGGAGGAGCCGGAGGGACGGCGCCTGGCCGCGGACCGGGCTCTCGGATGGGCGCTGCCTGTGCGATAACGGAATCTGGAGACCCAGGCGCCCGGGAGAGAGCGAGGACCGCTTATCTGAGCGCGCACACCCCGCCGTGCCCAGCCTGCAGGCCTGGCAGCGGGGGGCGGCGGACCGCAGGAGCGCTCTCTGCGGGGAAGCACACCCCCTGTCTGGCTCTACTTGGCAGACACATGTTACTAGTGAAATAATGTTTTAATACTCAGACTTGAAGTAATCCTACTGATGGGTGTTGCGCCAGGTCTTATGCAAATGCGAACGCATCACTTTATTTTATTTTATTGTTTACAGTATTACAAATAGTAGTACATATATCTCTCTTTTAAAAATATCTTTTTTGAATTATTTATTTTTTTTACAGAGAGGAAGAGAGAGGGATAGAGTTAGAAACATCGATAAGAAACATCCATCAGCTGCCTCCTGCTGTCTCCTTTTATCCCCCATTGACCTTCCCCTCTATCCCCCACCCCCAACATGCCCTCATCCCCAGTGTCTTGCATCCATTGGTTATGCTCATGTGCACGCAAACAAGTCCTTGGGTTGATCTCTTACCCCCTCCACTCCCACAACACTCGCAGCCTTCCCGCTGTAGTTTGACAGTCTGTTGCATGCTTCTCTCTGTCTTTATTTTTGTTCGCCAGTTTATAATGTTCTTTGTTACCCACCAATGAGTGAGGTGCGTTCATTCTTTTGATTCTCACAGCAGGACCCTGGGGAGAGATACCGTTAGGCTGACTTTTACATGCAAGGGATCTGAGGCCCAGGGAAGTCTCTGCTTCATGCACCAAACCCGCAATACGGGCTGTGTGTCCTTAAAGAAGAGCGCAGCTCAGAGGAGGCTCTGTAGAAAAAAAAAAAAATGCGTATTTTGGGAGTTATTGGCAGGCGGGGAGAGGATATTTCAGTGGTCACAGATTTATGACGAGTATAACGCTGGCATTGGGATTAAAGGACTGAAAAGAAATAAAGTGGTGAGATTCTCTGCTTCAGACAGATGTTATTCCCCCCACAAATCAAGGTCTGAGTTCATGGGGATGGAGACAAGCACCGTAGGCTGCCACCCGATGCACCCATCTCCAAAGGAAGGGCCCCTCAGCAGGCGGTGGGGACCCGGCCCTTTGGGAGGCCGCTGGCTGTCAGGAATGACCACAGGATGAAAGCCGAGGACCAGGGGGTAGCCTGCGAGGCGCTAAAACCCCGAGCGAGATTTTCCTCTTGGGGACTTGTTCCTGCTCCTCTTCTGACCCCCGGGGAGCCTGGGTGGCTTCCATTTCTCAGAAGCGGACTGTGCCCATGTGATTGTATTTTCTCCACCTCAAACCTCCTGAACATGACAGAGAAGGTGAAAAATAAGACTACATTCACAACACGTGGCATTCTTTTTTAAAAATATACATTTTGATTTTTTTTTTCCAGAGAGAAAGAGGGATAGAGAAAAACATCGATGAGAGCGAATCATCGATCAGCTGCCTTCTGCACACCCCCTACTGGGGATGTACCCGCAACCAAGATACATGACCTTGACCGGAATCGAACCCGGGACCCTTCAGTCCGCAGACCAACACTCTATCCACTTAGTCAAACTAGTCAGGGCAGAGGCAGGTGACTGATGTTACTCTCTCGTTGATGTTTCTGGCTCTCTATCCCTATCCCTTCCTCTCTGTAAAAAATCTTAATCACCAATTTATATCTTCTCCGTTAGACCATAATTTCTAAAGCGGACAGTGCTTCGACGGGCATATGGGAAAATATCATACCTCATATTTTCCAAAACACTAAGCCCAAGAAAGTAACCAAAACAAGTTTTCATTTAGACTTAGGAAAGCAAAAGAAACATATCCAGGTATACAGTGAGACATACGAACACGACCCAGGCTGCTTTCCTACGCGAGTTGGTCCAGGGAGACGTGCGCAGAAACAGACGCGATAAGGCGGAGGCGCTGCCCAGCCATCGGGTGAGATAAACCGAGCACCGACGGAGAGGGCGAGCAGAGCCCAGCGCTGCAGGCACCGCTCCTCTCGTCCCCTCCCCGTGCTGATGATATTAAAATCCGCAATCCAATTAAACTAGCAGTAATTACAGGCAGACCAGCTAGCCTCGCTCAGGTCTGAAGAGGGATGTGGGAGGCGCCTGGTTCCAGGGGTGAGACGTCAGAAGCAGAAAGGGTCAGACGTGGTTTGTGAATCAGCAGGAGCACCTCACAGGCAGCCCCGAGGGCTTCTGGGGGACGGCAGGCCTGTTTTCTCTCCTACTGACGTGGCCACTGTGAAAGTGAAGAAAGCAGACGCCCCTGCCTCCCCTCTACTTGCTGCTCTCCTTCACCGTTTAGGAGAAAACCTGGGGATTAGGAAACAGCTCATGCTCCGGGTGTGGTGATGTTGGTGAGCTGCTCCGGCCACTTAGCTTCCTCAACTGTCCCCCATCATTCACCCTGGCCCACCCAGAGAATGCATAACAGGAGAGATGGAAACATAGCACTTGGGAAATAACGCTATTTGGGGGAAAGTTTATGTAGAGTAGGGGTGTCGAACTCAATCAGAGAAGGGGCCAAAATCTAAAATCCAGCCTAAATCGCGGGCCAAATGGTTTACTGAACAGTCATAAACTGTCACTGTGATGGAAACGCAGCGGAGTGCAGTGATGACAGCGCGGTGCGGGCCACATTGCAAGGCCTGGCGGGACGGATTTGGCCCGCGGGCCTTGTGTTTGACACATGTGATGTAGAGCCTTGTCGCACACCGTATACCAAATCAAATTGCAGGTAGATGAAAGAGTTCATTATAATCATGAGGATGCAACAAAATATTGGCTAGTATTTACCTCATCTTTGGATAGGAAAAATCTTCCTAAGCACAAAAGTAGCAGGAGGAATCCTACTGGGAAGCTCAGTAGATGTGGTTACATAAAAATTTTTACACTGTAGTACAAACGGCATCGAAGAAAATATTAAAAGCAAAGTACAGCCCGGTTGGTGTGGCTCAGTGGTTGAGCGTTGACCCATGAACCAGAAGGCCAAGGTCAGGCTTGATCCTCAGTAGGGGGCGTGCAGGAGGCAGCCGGTGGGGGATTCTTTCTCATCATTGATGTTTCTAGCCCTCCCTCCCACTCCCTTCCCAGTGAAATTTGAATTTCAGATCAACAGTAAATAAGGTTTTTAGTAGATAAATGTCCCAAATATTTCACCTGGCTGCCTTACCTGGAGAAAGGCAATGAGCAGTGGCCTCCAGGACTTAAGATCTCCCGGAAGTTAAAAAACACAGAATCCCAGCTGGGAGAGAGGAGCTCACAGCTTGCAGGGGATGAGTCCCAGGACTGGTGAGTAGGATGCTGCTGAACTTGGCCTGGTTCCGGGTGCAGAGAGAGCCAAGGTCCTAGTGTGTTTATGGCGGAATCACAGCTGCTTGTGAGCTTAGGAAGATGCTGATATGCACAATCGCTACAGCAGCCGTCGTTTGGGAAGGCAGGGTGTAACCTGGACACTAACTGAGTGGCCTTGGCTCTAGGAAGCCAGGAAGCGAGCCACGGGGAGGACAGCAGGAGGGGAGAGGACACCAAGGTGTCCCATGGAGGAACACGTTGGTAAGCACTCCAGCCTCACGCGAAATACCTCAGGTCCCTGCAGCCACTCCCATGCGGGGTGTGTGTGTGTGTGTGTGTGTGTGTGTCTCAGTTGACTTGCTCCAAAGGGATGCCACTCCCCACCTAAGGGACCTGCTTCTGAGTTGTCAGTGACCGATGGAGGGCTGACCCCCCAGACCCATCGCCATAGGATTCCAAGCACTCCTAGGCCGGCGGTAGAATTTAATGCCAGCTTGTGAGGGGAAATTCACATACAGGTAAAATATCCTTGAAAATCCTTCATCAGCCACCAAAGTATAGTTATGTTTTTTCACGAAGGCTCGACAACATCGTCCCGCCCCTCCAACCTCCCATTTGGAGAGAAATGGCAGCTTCTTCTTCAGCCCATAGGCAGATGCTCTATCCACTGAGCCGAGCCCGCTGGGCCGGCAGTTCTCCTGCAGCGGAGTGCCGGACGCAGCGGCCAGCTCGCATGCAGGGGCCGTGCTCTCCGAAATGACTCCCAGGGCCGTGGCTGCGGATTCTCAGGCCACGACAAGCTCTGGGGGCCTAGCTGGGCCTCAGGAACGGCAATCACCGCTCTGGGCTCACACTGCCCTCCGGCGAACCCAGCTCAGGCCGGCATCGCCCAGACCCATGGTCTGCCTCTAGCCGTGCTCTGATTTAACGCTCACGGTTGAATTTATGAAGGTTAAACTGTGCCGAGATGTGACTCTAAGAACCAACGTTCTCAGCTCAGTAACTGAGCAGAGAGCGATCCAACCCAGGCCACTGAGGGCCCTTGTGTGTGTGTGTGTGTGTGTGTGTGTGTGTGTGTGTTATGAGAGCCCAGAAACTGATACTGTGGTTCCATTTTATGAAATCACCCAACCTGAAAGAATAAAGCCAGAAATAAAGTCCTCACTAAAGCAGGTGGGAGGGGAAGAGAGAAAACGCAGGCTCACCAAGTCCTTCCTGGTTCTGTGAGCTGATTCCCCTCCCCTTTAACCAGGCTGGTTTAAGTTGCAACCAAAGGAGTCCCCGAATAATAAAGACTATTTTCAACGTGTGGGGGAAATTGAGGATTAATTATTGAGTAATTTACGGGCAGTGATTGGGAGTCAAAGGCTATTGTTGTTTTGCTGGTATCAGGGTAACTCCTATTCGTGGGTCGAGACCCCAAGCCCTGTGGCCAGGGGAAGAAGGAGCTGCATTAAGTGGTTGCACAAGCGGAGCAGCTGTTAGCGGGTTAATCTATCATCAGGGCAGGGCCAGCTTCCCATGCCTGGAAGTGAGCTGACCGCTACTGAGCACAGAGAGTGCCTAAAGCGAACCCAGTTCCCTGCAGAAATGATCTTGGGATCTCAAGGTTGGTGTGTAGCTGGTAACTTCCAAACCGTGTTCTCTGAGGCTGTGATTCCCGTGTCCAGCCTGCCTTTCCCAGCCGCTCCTGCTGGCTGATCCCACGCCAGCTGTCAGACGCAGTCATCTTTGCAAACAGACCAGCTCAGCTGCTCTCCAATCAGTCACTCCGCTGTGCCATCCCTACCAGAAGGCATCGGTTAAAATCTGATGGAATCCACGTCCTCCTCTTCCTGTTACTTCAAAACCCTGTACCAGAGGAGCCTATAGCCCCACAACAATCTAGCAATACGTATGTGCTTTACATGGAAAGATTCTTTTATCTTTTCTCTGCTAATCTTTTTTTTTTTTTTTTAAATCAAGCAGTGTTTTTTGGTGTTTTTTTAAACATTTGTATCAATTTCAGAGAGGAAGGGAGAGAGAGAGAGAGAGAGAGAGAGAGAGAGGAACATCAATGATGAGAGAGAATTACTGATCAGCTGCCTCCTGCACACCCCCTACTAGGGATTGAGTGGCAACCTGGGCCCTGACTGGGAATAGAACCGTGACCAGAACCATGACCTCTTGGTTCATAGGTTGATGCTCAACCACTGAGCACACTGGCTGGGCTCTCTGCTAACCTGCTTTTAAACAGGTTCATCATTGTTTCTGACTATTTTTAAGTTTTCTAATCACTGCCACCTAACCTGAGAAGTCTGTGAATTTCTAATATGTCAATGAGTTTTTGATGCATGGAAGGTTTCCTGGGGACTTCACATAGGGATCTTTGGGAGGCATACAAAGGCTGGAATCAGGAGGCATTTGTTATCTGATAAACTGAAAAGAAAAGAAAAAAAAAAAACAATATCCACAAAGCTCTAGCAGGATATTATACTAAGAATTTATTTTATCTAAACGTGAAAACAATCTTCAGTGATATTTTTCTAGGCTTTCAACTGAAAAATTGCCTTGTAACCAGACAATAAGTAGCCAAAGTGAGATGAAAAAAAAAAGTTTTATTAAAATAAAGTCCACTAATTGGTTTGGATTCGTTTGTTTTTTTTGTTTTTTTTTAAATATATTTTATTGATTTTTCACAGAGAGGAAGAGAGAGGGATAGAGAGCCAGAAACATCGATGAGAGAGAATCATCGATCAGCTGCCTCTTGCACACCCCCTACTGGGGATGTGCCCGCAACCAAGGTACATGCCCTTGACTAGAATCGAACCCGAGACCTTTCAGTCTGCAGGCCAACGCTCTATCCACTGAGCCAAACCGGTCCCGGCTGGTTTGGATTCTTTTTAAATAAAAAATTTCCATCACTCCATACAAAGTAGAAAAAGCATTGTTAACATTTTTGAATTTAGAAAGTGTTATTTTTTAAAATATATTTTATTGATTTTTCACAGAGAAGAAGGAAGAGAGATAGAGAGCTAGAAACATCGATGAGAGAGAAACATCGACCAGCTGCCTCCTGCACACCCCGCTGGGGATGTGCCCGCAACCAGGGTACAAGCCCTTGACCAGAATTGAACCTGGGACCTTTCAGTCCGCAGGCCAATGCTTTATCCACTGAGCCAAACCAGTTTCAGTGGAAGTATTATTTTTAAAATTATTTAAACATTTATTGATTTTAGAGAGAGGGAGGGAGAGAGAAAAATTGCTTCATTGTTTCGCTTATTTATGTATTCATTGGTTGATGCTTGTATGGGCCTGACCAGGGATCAAACCTGAAACCTTGGTGCATCCGGACAGCACTCTAACTAACTGCCCTACCCAGCTCAGTTTACCTGGTCACTCAGAACCTTCTTAAGTGATTTCATTAACTCACCTGCCTTTAGCTCTGACCTGTAGGCACTGGCTCCCAAATCTCTATTTCTAGCCCCAAATCTGAGACCCAAATCCACCGCCACTACAAACGTGACATAAAGCAGAATTCATTCTCTCGATTGCAAACTGGTATCTCCTCTTCTTTGCCTTAGTTAATGGCACCGCTATCATCAGTCTCTTGCTTTACATATATGTGTTTCTTTGGCTGGAAATACATCCACC